TAATGCCAGCTACTCAGGAGGCAGAGGGAGAGAATTGCTTGAACCCGGGAGGCAGAGGTTGCAGTGAGCTGAGATCGCGCCACTGCACTCCAGCCTGGGTGACAGAGCAAGACTCCGTCTCAAAAATAAATAAATAAAAATAAAAATAAACAGGTCTCGCTCTGTCACCCAGGCTGGAGTGCAGTGGCACAGTCATAGCTCACTGCAGCCTCAACCTCCCAGGCTCAAGTGATCCTCTCACCTCAGCCTCCCAAGTAGCTGGGACCACAGGCATGCACCCCGCACCTGGCTAATTGTTGTATTTTTTGTAGAGATGGGGTCTCACTATCCCAAAGTGCTGGGATGACAGGCATGCGCCACCCCGCTGGGCCTCAGTTTCCTTATCTTTAAAATGGACTCAGTGACCCCTATTCTCTATCATTGTGGAAAGGATTCATGAGGTTAATTAGACACAGCAAGTCACACCTCACAGGGAGTATTGTGAGTGTCTCAGCTAGGACTCCCCAACCCCCAGCCACTTCCTCTAGAGGATTCCATTTGTACCCATGTCAGACACCCGCCTGGTGCCCCTGAGCCCTGTGTGCCCAGGCACCTAGGACTCCCCGGCCTCCTTCACACTCTCCCACTCATTGAGCCCCAGCCACACCCACCTCGTCACTGTTCCTTCAACACGCCAGGCATGGGCAGGCCTCAGGACCTTTGCAAGGTGCTGTGCCCCCTGCCTGGAATGCCCTCCCTGGGACATGGCCCGTGCCTTCATTTCACAGGGAGATCCTTCCTGACCCCTGGTAACCCCTTACCCAACCCTTACCCAAACTCTCCATCATCCGCCTCCCCCTCCTCTGGTGCCCATGTCACCGGTGATATGTGATGTATGACACCCATCCCAGCTCTTCCGCGGCAGACATAGAGCAATAAGCCCCACCACGGACAAAGCAGATGGCATTGTGGAAGCCCAGAAAAGCCACCTTACCCAGCTCCGGGTCTCAGAGTACAGAAACCTCTTTTTTGAGCCAGGGCCTTGCTCTGTTGCCCAGGCTGGAGTGCAGTGGTATGATCCCAGCTCACTGCAGCCTCAACTTCCTGGGCTCAATTGATCCTCCCACCTCTTGGCCTCCAGAGTAGCTGGGACCACAGGCACATGCCACCACGCCTGGCTAACTTCCGTTTTTGTTTCTGTTTTTTTTTTTTTTTTGAGACCATTTTTTTTTAGATGATTTTTTTGGTGTTTCAATCTTGTTGCCCAGGCTGGAGTATAATGGAGCGATCTCGGCTCAATGCAACCTCCGCCTCCCAGGTTCAACCAATTCTCCTGCCTCAGCTTCCTGAGTAGCTGGGATTACAGGCACACGCCACCAAGGCTGGCTAATTTTGTATTTTTAGTAGAGATGGGGTTTCTCCATGTTGATCAGGCTGGTCTTGAACTCTCGACCTCAGGGTCTGCCTCGGCCTCTGCTGGGATTACAGGAGTGAACCACTGTACCTGGCCAACTTGTATATTTTTATAGAGATGGGGTTTCACTATGTTGTTCAGACTGATCTCCTGGCCTCAAGCAATCCATCCGCTTTGGCCTCCCAGAGTGCTGGGATTACAGGCGTGAGCCACCGATCCTGGCCAGAAGTCTCTAATGCTCAAAGAACATTCTTGCCTGCTTTACGTGGATGTGTAGCAATGCTCAGACCTGCCTGCATGCTTCCCATTAACTCACCTTCCTGCAGCTTGGCTCAAGTTGTCTCAGCACAAAAGGTAAAAAGATGCAGAGACCCCAGCTTCGGATGAACCTCCTCTGCGTCAGCCTGCCGTCTGATTCGAACTTCTGCACAACACACCCAACGGCGCGTCTAGTGACCGTCTGAGCGCCCAGGCCCCACTGCCACCCGGTGCCACCCCGTACCCGCAGACCGCACCTTCAGCATGCGCCCCCTGACTCTCTCCAGCCTCTGGGCAGCCTGGTCACAATTGAGGGCCGTGGTCAGACACTGGTCGGCCAGCTGCAGGAAGGTGGCCACAGCATCAGCCATGAGCTGTGGGAGGAGATGCTGTGATGACCCCAAAATCTGTGATCCAGTCTCCTGGGCCCCCACCTGCCCAGCTGACCCCTTCTCAGCATCCAGCCTGCCCCAACCAGCCACCTCACCCCAGCCTCCTCCTCCTTGTCCCAGGAAACACCTTTCCCCTCCTCTGAGGACCTGGGAATTGTCCAGTCTGTGGGGAACTATGTGCAAACTGTCAGAAAGCCCCCTCTCTCTGGGGGATGGTGCCAGGGTGCCCAGAATGGGGAGCAGAGAGCCAGCCAGAGTTCAGCCTCCTCCACTGAGTGCTCTTGTGCAGTGTGCAAACTGAACAACTGTGCCAGGTGGAACTGAATCATCTCACTCTCTTCTTCTGTCACCAAGTCCATCAGCAGATCCCATCTCAGACTTCAAAACAATTCTCACTTCTCTCCACTGACATCGCAATCCTGGTGCAAGCCTCCTCTCTTCCTCCCCTATTCCTGCCCCCAACAGCCTTTGCTCCCTACGGCAGGCAGAACTTCCAGCCACGCCCTCCCCCTGCTCACACACACCTGCTCTGGCTCCCCATTGCCCTCAGGAAAGAGCCCACCCCTTAGCCCCATACTCAAGGCACTCAGCAATCTGCCCGTCCATCTCGCCAGCCTGTCTTCCCCATTTCTAAAAAATTGCTCCACATTCCCCAAATGCAGACAAGCGCTCTCAACACTGTTCACTCGGGACTTGAGTCAGCCTCATTCCTCCCACTGCTGCCCCATGTTGGAAGTCCCCTCCTCCCAAAAGTCCCCTCAACCCCGGAGATGGATCAGGACCGTCCTTGGCGCTCCCTGTACGTTCCGCCCCAGCTCTGTCCACCACATGTGGCGCTGCCTGGAAATAGGCTCATGTCCCCATGAGACTGGCAGCCCCACTGAGTCTGTCTCAATTATCGTGATCACTCCAGGACACACTTAGTGGAGGTGCTCTTCGCAGGCTGGCCTCCTCCCAGGCTCCTGCTCACCCTCACCTGCTGTGCAAGATCCTGGGCTGCAAACAAGAGGCTCTGCATCCCCAGGAAGCCAAATGGTGCTGCCAGCTGCCCCAAACGCCCCCGGCTCCGCTCGGTCTCACGGTAGCATGCCTGCATCAGCGCCAAGTCCCACGGCATCTCCCCGAATGAGTGAACCTGTGTTCCCGGGAGCAGTTTGTCGGCGGTGGTGGTGGGTGGGGGGTTCTGTCAGCTGATTGCAAAGGGCCACAAACCCCACAGCCAATTCACCAAAGGAGAAACCCAGATGAAAACACATCCCGCCTCAGTTGTTACCAAAGAAACTCATAATAAAGTAGCGGTGGGCCGGGTGTGGTGGCTCATACCTGTAATCCCAGCATTTTGGGAGGCTGAGGCGGGCAGATCACTTGAGGTCAGGAGTTTGATACCAGCCTGGCCAACATGGAGAAACCCCATCTCTACTAAAAATACAAAAATTAGCTGGGCCTGGTGGCGCGCACCTGTACTCCCAGCTACTCGGGAGACTGAGGCAGGATAATCGCTTGAACCCAGGAGTTAGGGGTTGCAGTGAGCCAAGATTGCAGCACTGCACATCAGCCTGGGAGACAGACTCTGTGTCAAAAAATAAAATAAGGCCAGGCACAGTGGCTCATGCCTGTATTCCCAGAATTTTGGGAGGCCAAGGTGGGTGGATCATGAGGTCAGGAGTTCAAGATTAGCCTGGCCAAGATATTGAAACCCCGTCTTTACTAAAAATACAAAAATCAGCCAGGCGCAGTGGCAGGCACCTGTAATCCCAGCTACTCAGGAGGTTGAGGGAGAGAATCGCTTGAACCCGGGAGGCAGAGGTTGCAGTGAGCTGAGATCGCCACACTGCACTCCAACCTGGGTGACAGAGAGAGACTCTGTCTCAAAAAATAAAATAAAATAAAAGGAGCGGTGAGGCATGGTGTCATGGGTATAAAGTGATAAAACCTGAAAAAACTATAGCATGAGGTGCTGGCACAGTTGAGAGGAAATAAGCACACTCAGTTGGACCTGGGTCTATGACCACCTCATGGCCTCTCTGTGCTGGACCCTGGGGCTGCAGAAACCGAATACTCTAAGCCAGCCTTTGCTTACAAATTGGGGGAGACAGAGTATAGAAATCTCCCCTAGTGGTATGAAAGTGAGGCTGTGATAAGAGAAGCACAGGCTACTACAAGACATAGAGGGGGACCAGGGACAGCTCCTGGAGAAGGTGATTAGGAAGTAGAAGGTTAAGAATGAGTTGAAGGTTGCCTGGCACATAGTAGGTGCCGCTTTGTGAAGGCACGTGTATGTATGTGCGCATGGATGGATGAGTGGACGGATGGATTTTAGGTGCTGCTTGAATATCAGAGGCGCTGAGTTGACCTGCCTTGAGCAGAATTATCTGGCTCATGAGACCGCATGGGTTGTTCCCTACAGGGGAATGGGAGAAGGAGTTTGGGGGGGTGATCTCAGAATGATTTTGCTAAAATGCCACTCTTCTCATCCAACTCCTTTCCCCTCACGTTTTAAACTGTGCTTCGAGGCCACTGGAGTGGCTCACACCTGTAATCCCAGCACTTTGGTAGGCCAAGGCAGGCACATCGCTTAAGCCCAGGAGTTTGAGACCAGCCAGGGCAACAAAGCAAGACTCTGTCTCTACAAAAAAATTAAAAAATTAGCTGGGCATGGTGACGTGCACCTATATTTCCAGCTACTTGGGAGACTAAGGTAGGAGAATCAATTGAGCCTGGGAGGTTGTGGCTGCAGTGAGCTAAGGTTGTGCCACTGCACTCCAGCCGGGGTGACAGAACCAGACCCTGTCCCCAAAACAAACAAAACAAAGCAAAAACTGTGCTCCAGTGACTATAGCATGGTGATGGGTCCACAATAAGTAAAAAGCAGCCTAAAACAAATTCAGAGGTTTTCAACAGGAAAGACTCAAAGCATCATCCGCTGGCCCGCTGAACCCCTACCCACGGGAGCTCACCTCCCTGCGCAACCGCGTGCCCGAGGGGCTCTGGCGCAGGTGGCCGGACAGTCGGTCCACGCCTTGAGCCAGGAGGGTCCGCACCACCTCGAGCAAGGCTTCCACGGTGTCCAGCAGGGTCTGAGCGAGCCGGGGCAGCTGCGGGTCCACATGCCGGCGCAGGCACAACTCGAGCGGTCCCTTGATATCCGCTGGGAGTGGAAGACACTGACCTGGAGTCCCCTCCGCAAGGTGCTTCGCAGATGGGGATGGGCAGGGCGAGGGGGACCCGAACAGGGACACTGAGCACCCTCTTCTACCTCATTGTAGTGATGAGAAAACTGAGCCTCGGAGGGGCGGGCCGAGTCTGGATTCCCAACTGAGTCTTTGTAGGGGCCACCTTGGCCCACCCCTGCCCAAGTATCAGCCTTTACTCGCACCCCTCCCCGGCTCTTCCGCTTTCCAGGCCCACCCAACCCGCTGTGGCCCAGCTCCGGGCCTCAACCACTCCAGCCTCAGCCTCAAGGCCACGCCTGTTTCCTGCTGAGGCTCCGCCCTTGCTGTATCCCCCACAGCCCTCTCAGGACCTTGTATCTTTGGGGCAGACTCTAGGCCCCGCCCTAGTGCCACACCCACAAACCACGCCCACCACTTTCTAGCTTAGGCCCCGCCCTTCTCCCCACCCGTTCCCTTCCACATTCTAGGTTTGGCCACGCCCCTCCATGACCACGCCCCTTATTCACACAAGGCTATGCCCATTCCTCACTTAGGTCATGCCCATCTGTCCCAGCATTACCTCGCCCCTCCCAGCCCAGGCCCCGCCCCCGAGTCTCACTCCGCATCCGCCCAGCCACGCTCGCCCGCAGCCGCAGCAGCTGGTCCGCGTCCGGGCGGATCGTCTTCTCCAGCGACGCAAGCAGATCGTCTTTTTCGGGCTGGAAGGCGCGGAGCCCGGCGGAGGCCCCGGCCAGGACAGCTGCGTGAACGGCCTCCAGAAGCTGCCCAGACAGGTCGAGAGGACCCCACGCGAGACAGGAGCATATGAGAGACGAGACGCGGGGCGGGGATGGGGGTCAGAGAGACCGGCAGAGTTTAGGCCACAGTCGTGGGAGGGGAACCCTAGCGCACGGATCCCGCCCCGTTCCCGGGTCCGGATCCATGCAAACCTCGGTCCAGGCCCAGGCGCGGGCGCGGCCGGCCCCCTGCAGGCCAGGAAGGGTCTGGGCTCGCAGCGTGGGAAGTTGTTCCCGCATCAGCACCGCGGTCAGCACCTGCAGGAGAGGGGGCCGTGGGCGCCGCGGCCGGCCGGAAGGGGTCCTGGGGGTCCCGGTGGCGGCCTCGCGGGGCACTGACCTCGGCGTCTGAACCTAGGGTAACGTCGTCGCCGTCAAAGTGGCCTTGGTGCTGCCGGTAGAGTCGGACGGCGTCCAGGAAGGCCCGGGCAGCAGGGGCCTGGCTTCGCTGCAGGACTGAGAGGGGCTGGGCCTCAGTGCCTGCTCATAGCTCAGTGCCTGCCTGGTTCCCCATGGCCCGAGAAGGAAGCCCTCCTCCTGGCCAGGTCCCCAACACCCAAGTTTCACTCATCTCGAACTTTGCACAGGCAGTGCTCGCCACAGAGAACACATTCCCTCCGGATCACCACCAGCCCTTAAGGCACCCTTATTCAACTTAGAAGGAACCCTCTACGGGCAGCCACAGCCCCATGACTAGCAGTTCAGGCCATACACACCGCAGACACTAGCTGCTCCTCCAGTTGCATCGTTTGTGCAGTTAACAACCTGCCCAACTGTGTATGTCAGTCCTGCTGGTCCTCGACTTTTTTGCTTTCTCTCTTTCCCCCCCTTCCTCCTTCCCTCTCTCCCTCTCTTCCTTCCTTTTCTTTTTTTTTATGAGACAGAATCTCGCACTGTGGCCCCGGCTGGAGTGCAATGGCCTGATCTCCGCTCACTGCAACCTCTGCCTCCTGGGTTCAAGTGATTCCCCTGCCTCAGCTTCCTGAGTAGCTAGGATTACAGGCGTCTGCCACCATGCCCAACTAATTTTTTGTATTTTTAGTAGAGACTGGGTTTCACCATGTTTGTCCAGGCTGGCCTTGAACTCCTGACCTCATGATCCACCTCCCTTGTCATCCCAAAGTGCTGAGATTACAGGCGAGAGCCACCACGTCCGGCCTCTTTTTTTCTTTCTTTTTCCTTCCTTCCTTTCTTCCTTCCTTCCTTCTTTTTTCTTTCTTTTTTCCCTTTCTCTCTCTCTCTCTCTCTCTCTCTCTCTCTCTCTCTCTCTCTCTTTTCCTAGATAGGGGTCTCTCTATTGCTCAGGCTGAAGGACGGTGACATGATCATAGCTTACAGCAGCCTCCAAGTCCTGGGCTCAAACAATCCTCCCACCTCAGCCTCCTGAGTAGCTGAGACCACAAGCACATGCCACCACGCCCAGCTAATTTTTGTATTTTTTGTACAGATGGAGTTTCACCATGTGGCCCAGGCTGGTCTTGAACTCTTGGCATCAAGTTGGGATTACAGGCATGAGCCACTGAGCCTGACCTATTCCCCTTTTTCACCTGGCTGGCCCCTCATCTTTTTCAGACCCCAGCTTCCCCTCATCTTGGAAGCTCTAATTCCCATCCCCCAGGCTGAGCTTCCAGAGAATCCTGTGTGTCTCCATCACAGCCCTAGTCACTCACAACAGCCTGATGTCCCTTCCTGCTCCCCCATCAACCCATTTTCTTTCCTTTTTTTTTTTTTTGTTTTTTGTTTTTTTTGACACAGAGTTTCGCTCTTGTTGCCCAGGCTGGAGTGCAATGGGGTGATCTTGGCTCACTGCAACCTCTGCCTCCTGGGTTCAAGCGATTCTCCTGTCTCAGCCTCTCAAGTAGCTGGGATTACAGGCGCCCATCACCAAGCCCAGCTAATTTTTGTATTTTTAGTAGAGATAGGGTTTCACCATGTTGGCCAGGCTGGTCTCCAACTCTTGACCTCAGGTGATCTGCCCATCTCGGCCTCCCAAAGTGCTGGGATTACAGGCATGAGCCACCGTGCCCGGTCTAACAACACATTTTCCGGGTAAGGAAAGTGAGACCTGGAGAGGTCCCAAGCCAACAGAGGCTGAGCTGTGTACCCCAGACCATTAGCCTCACAACTACTGGACCCTTCCTGAGACCCACCTGTGCCCCGAAGCCGGATACCACCCTGCAGTGCCAGCCTCCAGGCATGCTGTGCCTCCCTGGTGGCTGCAGAGAAGCAGAGGTGCCGGCGGAAGGGGTGCTGGAGGAATAGGGGGAACCTCACAGGCACTTCCAAGAGGGAGTCAGGCTCTTCCTGAGTATTGTCTCCTGAAAACGAACAGAGGAGGTCGCATCTTCTAAACGCTCATTCACTAGGAGAAAATACCCCTGAAATGCATACAGCAGTCCCTGAAATGGGCAATTGCTCGATAAATATGAGCCACACCGTGATAGTTGCCACCTTCCTTATTCCAGCAGCACTGGGCAGGGCACAGTTTGTGGGGAGGTAAAGTCACCTTCTTCCATTGCATGCCCGAGGCAGACATCACCAATCCATCCCAGCATTGTTTTCCAGCCTCAGCTTCCTCAATACAGTCCTCCTGGCAGCCACCACCAATCCATCCAAGCTGGGATATTATATGAGACCGGCTTGATGTGGGGCTTTGGAGTTAGCCAGGCTGGTTCCAACCTGACCAAACCCCAAACCACTTTCATTTTCTTTCTTTCTTTCTTTCTTTTTTTTTTTTTTTTTGATGGAGTCTCGCTGTATCACCGGGCTGGAGTGCAGTGGCACGATCTCAGCTCACTGCAACCTCCTACCCCTGGGTGCAAGCTATTCTTCTGCCTCAGCCTCCTGAGTAGCTAGAATTACAGGCACCTGCCACCACACCCGGCTAATTTTTGTATTTTCTTTTAGTGGAGATGGGGTTTCACTATGTTAGCCAGGATGGTCTCGATCTCCTGGCCTCTTGATCTGCCCACCTTGGCTTCCCAAAGTTCAGGGATTACACGTGTGAGTGACTGTGCCAGGCTGTCCAAACTACTTTCTAGCTCTATGACTAGGGCACACGTTTTCATGTCTCTGAGCTGTGATTTTCCTTCCCTACAGAGGCATGTCACTACACCCAGCTGGTTTTTGAATTTTTAGTAGAGACAGGGTTTCACTGTTGGCCAGGCTGGTCTCGAACTCCTCACCTTAAGTTATCCACCCACCTCAGCCTCCCAAAGTGGTGTGATTACAGGCACATGCCACTACACCCAGCTAATTTTTGTATATTTATTTATTTTTTTTTTTAATTTTTTTTTTTTTTTTGAGACGGAGTTTCGCTCTTGTTACCCAGGCTGGAGTGCAATGGCGCAATCTCAGCTCACTGTAACCTCCGCCTCCTGGGTTCAGGCAATTCTCCTGCCTCAGCCTCCTGAGTAGCCGGGATTACAGGCACGCACCACCATGCCCAGCTAATTTTTTGTATTTTTAGTAGAGACGGGGTTTCACCATGTTGACCAGGATGGTCTCGATCTCTTGACCTCATGATCCACCCTCCTCGGCCTCCCAAAGTGCTGGGATTACAGGCTTGAGCCACCGCGCCCGGCCTATTATTTCTGTTGTTGTTGGAGATGGAGTTTCACTCTATAGCCCAGGCTGGAGTATGATGGGCGATCTCGGCTCACTGCAGCCTCCACCTCCCAGGCTCAAGTGATCCTCCCATCTCAGCCTCCCAAGTAGCTGGGACTACAGGCATGAGCCACGGTTTTACTGTTTTATCCTTTGCTATTTTGATTCTGGTTCCACGACCTAACTCTTCCTCTCACTCTGGCAAGAGTGGGTGTTTGTTTTCCAGAGCAGGGATGCTCACCAGGGCAACAGCGCCCCCCGGAGACACTTGGCAATGCTGGAGACATCTGTGGTTGTCGTACCCACGATGGGGGCCTCATGAGGTCACCTCGTGAACTCAGGTGATCCATCCGCCTCCGCTTCCCAAAATGCTGGGATTACAGGCACGTGCCACCACACCCAGCTACGTTTTGTATTTTTAGTAGAGTTGGGATTTCACCATGTTGGCCAGGCTGGTCTTGAACTCCTGACCTCAAGTGATCCACCTGCCTTGGCCTTCCAAGTGGTGGAAGCCGGGGATGCTGCTTAACGCCCTGCTGTGCACGGGACGCCCCCACCGCAGAGAATGATCTGACCCCACAGGTCAACAATGCTGGGGGTGGAGAAACCTGCTCCTGGGAACCCGGGGACCCTTACCCAAGGAGGCCGAGCAGAGAGCATCCAAAAGGTGGAGATATTCACGCTGGGAAGTCAGGAGTGTGTATCCCGTCAGGGCTGTGGAGCCAAGGGGGCGGTTCCCGTTTTCATATTCCTACAAAAGGCACCCAGAGAACCAGCTTGGGCAGGTCTGAACTGTGGCTTCTGTGTCCCAACTGCACTATCAAGGGAAGATTTCAGATGAGCTGGAAAATCCTCTGCCCCTCCCACTCCCCCTTTCCTCCCTTCCTCTCTCTGTCTTTTGTTTTTGTTTTGAGACAGAGCTTGGCTCTGTTGCCCAGGCGGGAGTGCAGTGGCACGATCTCAGCTCACTGAAACCTCCACCTCCTGGTTCAAGCGATTCTCCTGCCTCAGCCTCCTGAGTAGCTGGGACTACAGGTGTGTGCCACCATACCTGGTTATTTTTTGTATTTTATTTTATTTATTTATTTATTTTAAGACGGAGTCTCGCCCTGTCGCCCAGGCTGGAGTGCAACGGCTCAATCTCAGCTGCCTCCTGGGTTCAAGTGATTCTTCCACCTCAGTCTCCCAAATAGCTAGGATTACAGGCATGCACTACCCCGCCCGGCTAATTTTTGTATTTTTAGTAGAGATGGGGTTTCTCCATGTTGGCCAGGTTGGTCTTGAACTCCCAACCTCAGGTGAACCCCCCCCCCACTCGGCCTCCCAAAGGGCTGGGATTATAGGTGTGAGCCACCATGTCCAGCCCTCCCTCTTTCTTCCCCCCTCTCTCCATCCATCCTCCCTCTGTGCCCCTAACTTCCTCTCTTCCTCCCTCCTTCCCTTCCTTCCTCCTGTTCCTGCCCTCGCTCTCCCTCCTTTTCCCTTTCCCTCCCTTCCCCCTCCTTCCCTTCCTTCCTCCTGTTCCTGCCCCCTCCCCCTCCTTTTCCCTTTCCCTCCCTTCCTCCCTCCTTCCCTTCCTTCCTCCTGTTCCTGCCCCCTCCCCCTCCTTTTCCCTTTCCCTCCCTTCCTCCCTCCTCCCCTTCCTTCCTCCTGTTCCTGCCCCCTCCCCCTCCTTTTCCCTTTCCCTCCCTTCCTCCCTCCTCCCCTTCCTTCCTCCTGTTCCTGCCCTCTCTCCCCCTCCTTTCCCTTTCCCTCTCTTCCTCCCTCAGTCCCTGAACTCCAGCACCCCCCGGCTCCCCGTGTGCCAGGCTGGTCCCATGTGCTGTCTGAGGACCCGCTTGATGAACCCTCAAAGCCCTATGTGGATGACACATTACCATCCGATTTCACAGAGGTGGAAACTGAGTTTCAGAAAGGTAGTGATCGCCCCAAGCTCCCCACCAGAAAGCAGAGGGGTCAGAGGTCTTACTTGCAAAGGTCTCAAGAGAGTTAAACCACAGCTCTGATACTGACTTGGGCCTCAGTTTACCCATCTAGCACAGCAGGGGATGGGACGAGATGATCTACAACAGACCAAGCATATAGAGGCCCAAGATTCATAGTGGGTGATTGATAGAGGTGGGGCTATGCTGAGAGATGGACTCCATAAACTGAGGCTGGGGGGCGTGGAAAGGAGGGACCCAGAAGCAGAAAGGCCACGTGACACTCACTTACCTCCTTGTGGCTGAACCACTCCAGGCGGCCGTCCCCACGCAGAACACAGAAGATCGGCTGCCACTGGAGTGGGTGGCCCCGAAGCTGGGTCAGGGGTCCTCGGTGCTCACGGACTCGGGGCAGCTTCTGCAAGCAGAGGGATCAGCAGGTGTCAGGGGTTGTGGGCTGATGTCCCTGTGTCCCAACCACCCACACAGCTCCTGCTGTATCCTGGGGTGACACTCAGGTCCTGTGATGCCCCAGACTGGTCAGGGAGAGTCCCAGGTGGAAAAAGGCTCTGTGTCCGCAGCTCCTGGAGCCCCCTGCATTAGTAATAAGCACGGATCCCAGATTCAAATCACACCTTTGCAGTGTGACCTTGGGCAGGCCATTTTGCCTCTCTGTGCCTCAGTTTCCTCATCAGTCAAAGACCCATCTCCTAAGTGGGTGAAGAGTGAGTTGTAGGGGGCACGCAACTTCATGGCTCCACAGACCTCTGGAGGCCAGGCGCAGTGGCTCACGCCTGTCATCCCAGCAATTTGGGAGGCCAAGGTGGGGGAATGACTTGAGGTCAAGAGTTTGAGACCACCCCAGCCAACATGGTGAAACCCCGTGTCTATTAAAAATACAAAAAGTGCGGGGTGCGGTGGCTCACGCCTCTAATCCCAGCACTTTGGGAGGCCGAGGCGGGTGATTGAGGTCAAGAGATCGAGACCATCCTGGTCAACATGGTGAAAACCCGTCTCTACTAAAAAGACAAAAAATTAGCTGGGCATGGTGGTGCGCGCCTGTAGTCCCAGCTACTCGGGAGGCTGAGGCAGAAGAATTGCCTGAACCCAGGAGGCAGAGGCTGTGGTGAGCTGAGATCACACCATTGCAGTCCAGCCTGGGTAACAAGAGCAAAACTCCGTCTCAAAAAAAAAAAAAAATAGGCATGGTGGTGGGTGCCTGTGGTCCCGGCTACTTGGAGGCTGAGGCACAAGAATGGCCTGAACCCAGGAAGTGGAAGTTGCAGTGAGCCGAGATCACCCCACTGCACTCCAGCCTGGGCAACACAGGGAAAAACTCCATTTAAAGAAAAAAAGTTGCCAGGTGCAGTGGCTCACGCCTGTAATCCCAGCACTTTAGGAGGCTGAGGTGGGTGGATCATGAAGTCAAGAGATTGAGACTGTCCTGGCCAACAAGGTGAAACTCCGTCTCCACTAAAAAATACAAAAATTAGCTGGACATGGTGGTGCGCACCTGTAGTCTCAGCTACTCGGGAAGCTGAGGCAGGAGAATCGCTTGAACCCAAGGAGGCGGAGGTTGCAGTGAGCTGGGATCACGCCACTGCACTCCAGCCTGGGTAACAAGAGCAAGACTCTTGTCAAAAAAAAAAAGTTATTCCATTTCACATCAGGACACGCTGGCTTGTTTGGAGTCTTCTACGTCTCATCAGATTGTGAACCCCAGAGGTTAGAGCAGGGTCTGTCCTTGTCACTGGACAAAGGCTGTGTGTCCTCATGCCCAGCCGTGATGTGGCATGAATGACATGTGCGATAAATGGCTTTATTTGTTGGTGGGTTTTTTTGTTTTTTTTTGTTTGTTTTTAAGATAGAGTTTTGCTCTGTTGCCCAGGCTGGAGTGCAGTGGCGCGATCTCGGCTCACTGCAACCTCCACCTCCCAGGTTCAAACAGTTCTTCAGTCTCAGACTCCCAAGTAGCTGGGACTACAGGCGCACGACACCACACCCAGTTAATTGTTTTTTCCTTTTGTATTTTTAGCAGAGGCGAGGTTTCACCACGTTGGTCAGGCTGGTCTTGAATGCCTGACATCTGGTGATCTGTGTTCAACTTCAACTTCCTGGGTTCAAGCCATTCTTGTGCCTCAGCCTCCAAGTAGCCGGGACCACAGGCACCCACCACCATGCCTTTTTTTTTTTTTTTTTTTTTTTTTGAGACGGAGTTTTGCTCTTGTTACCCAGGCTGGACTGCAATGGTGTGATCTCAGCTCACCTTGGCCTTCCAAAGTGCTGGGATTATAGATGTGAGCCACCTCGCCTGGCCACTCAGTGAATGTTTTATTCAAACAGTGAATATTTAAAGTCACCCTATGGCAATGGCAAAGGTCTGAGGTTGGAAGCTTGGCTTAGGGAGGGCTCCTCTAGGAACCCGCCCCCCCACCAAAGGTCCTCCGCCCCCACAAAACTCACTTTGCTTCGTAGCAACTGACTTCCAGCCGGCTCCTGGGGGCCCAGCTCTCGGGAGATCTGCCGAAGGACTGATGCTGCCAGCTGCCCACGGTAGCAGGGCAGGAAGTTCCTTAGCAGGGTGTCCATCTGATCTGCAGGGACAAGGGGACAGTGAGCCCAGCAAATTGAATCTGCCCAAGAGAACTGCTTGGGGAGCGGGGGTCTCCTATTAACGTGGCTGGGAGGAAGCTACTCCCCCTCCCCCTCCCCCTCCCCCCTCCGTCCTCCTCCCCCTTCTTTCTTTTTGACACAGGGTTTTCTCTGTGGCTCAGGCTGGAGTGCAGTGGTGCAATCACAGCTCACTGCAGCCTCCACTTCCCGGGCTCAGGTGATTCTCCCACCTCAGCCTCCCAAGTAGCTGGGACTACAGAACTACAGGTGCCCGCCACCATGCTTGGCTAATTTTCCTATTTTTAGTAGAGATGAGGTTTCACCATGTTGCTCAGGCTGGTCTTGAACTCCTGGGCTCTAGTGATCTGCTTGTCTTGTCCCTTCCCTTCCTTCCTCCCTCCCTCCCTCCTTCTTTCTCTCTCTCTTTCTCTCTTTCTTTCTTTCTGAGACAAGGTCTCTGTCCCCGAGGCTGGAGTGTGGTGGTGCAATCTCACTGCAGCCTTCACCTCCTGGGTTCAAGTGATCCTCCCTCAGCCCCACTTCAGTAGCTGGGATCACATGCACGCCCCACCAGGCCCAGCTAATTTTTTAAATTTTTTTGTGGAAACAAGGTCTTGCTATGATGTCCAGGCTGGTCTCAAACTCCTGGCCTCAAGCGATCCTCCCACCTCGGACTCCCAAAGCACTGGGAATACAGGTGTGAGCCACACTTTCACTTATAGCTCATGTATCGCATAAAGCTTATGATCCGCTGAGATTTGACACAATCACACATCTGTGAAACCCTCACCACAATCAAGATAATGAGCGGATCCATCACACCCAAAAGTTTCTCCATACGCTTTACCTGAGGAGCTTTTCAAAAGCTTTTAAAGCTCCAAAGCACATAGGCAACTTTCTGTGGGTGATGGAAGTGTCCTGTATCCTGATCTATTTGGGAAGTAGTCACATGGGTGACTAGCTCTTTGAGCTGTTGCCCTAAGGTGTATACATTTGACTGTAAATAAAACATACTTCCATTCTGCTGCCTGGAACGTGGACCCAATGGCTGGAGCTCCAGCAGCCATTCTGTGCCATGAGGTCATCTTGGGCATAGGAATCTACACATGGCAGAGCCATGAGACAGAAGGACTTTAGGTGTCTAACTTTAAATAGCCTGCCTGCCTCCACACCTGCAGTTTGATTTTTTTTTTTTTAATTCTTATCTTGTTTAAGCCACTATTGAAAAAAAAAATCCCAGTGCTACATAGAGTAACTCACTGAATGCTTACGATGTCCCCACGAGCTAGGCATTGTTGCTATCCCCATTTTACATATAAGAGAATAAAGCCCAGGAAGGTGCAGTCACTCACCAAAGGGCACACAGCAAGTGAGGGCATGACCAGGGTGTGAACGTGAATTGTTCGTTTGTGAGATACACCACAGGCCTTAGCATATGCTGTTTCTCCTGTCGAAAATGCTCTTCCGGTATCTCCTACTTGCCAACGCCATCACATCCCTCCGGCCCTGGCTTGATCATTGTCTCCTCTCCTCGGCAGGCAGTCACCCACTTCTGCTCTTCCCCACACTCAAGGAACATGTGAGCTCTCTCCCATCATTCTCACCATGCAATTTTGGGTCATGATTTGACCCAAAAACAAAAACAAAAAATTCTTCCACCCTGCTGCATGGAATGTGGACCTAGTGGCTGGAGCTCCAGCAGCCATTCTGTGCCTTGAGGTCACCTTGGGCACAGAAGACTCACATAGCAGAGCCACAGGATGGAAGGAGTTTAGACCATGAGCTGGCCAGAATAAGGCCAGTACCAATCCCACAATGTCCACAGCGCCCAGCACAGGGGCTCACCTTGCATATGAAGACAGAGGGACCCGAGTGGCACTGGCCCTTCTTGGTCTCAAATTGAGAACTGAGTCTCCATCCCCAGCATCCTGCCAAAGAACCTGCTGGTCCCTGCCCAGCCAGGAGGACGTCCCTCAGGATCTGGCTGGGTCTGGGACACCCTCCAGCTGGTCTCATGCTTCCCATCTGAACCCCTATCCTGAATCAGGTCACCATATTTACCAAATAAAACAGAAGACACAGGCTGGGCATGGTGACACATGCCTGTAATCCCAGCATTTTGGGAGACTGAGGTGGGTAGATCGCCTGAGGTTAGGAGTTCGAGACCAGCCTGGCCAATATGGTGAAACCCCGTTTCTACTAAAAATAGAAAAATTAGGCATGGTGGTGCATGCCCGTAATCCCAGCTACTTGGGAAGCTGAGGCAGGAGAATCACTTGAATCCTGGAGGCAGAGAGGTTGCAGTGAGCTGAGATCCCACCACTGACTCTAGCCTGGGTGACAGAGTGATACTCCGTCTTAAAAAAAAAAAAAGATTAAACGAGTTATTGGTTTTCAGCATAAGTATGCACTATGCAAAATTTGGGATATACTTATGCTAACAATAAGATTCAGACCAGGTGCAGTGGCTCCTGCCTGTAGTCCAGCACTTTGGGAGGTTGAGGTGGGAGGATCACTCAAGCTCAGGCATTCAAGAGCAGCCTGAGGAACATAGTGAGACCCTGCCTCTACAAAATCAAACAAAAACTTTAGCTTGGCGTGGTGGTGCATGCCTGTGGTCCCAGCTACTCGGGAGGCTGAGGCAGGAGGATCACTTGAGCGCAGAAGTTCAAAACCAGACTGGCAACAAAAGGACACCCTGTCTTATAAAAATAACAAAATAGCAGGGCATGGTGGTGCACGCTGTGCTCCCAGCTACTTGGGAGGTTGAGGCAGGAGAATCGCTTGGGCCCAGGAGGCCAAGTTTGCAGTGAGCTGTGATCAAACCACTGCACTCCAGCTTGGACAACAGACAAGATCCTGTCTCAACAATAACAAAAGATTCGCTGAGTGAAATTCGCATTAAGAGGGCATCGTTGGCCGGGCGTGGTGGCTCACGCCTGTAATCCCAGCACTTTGGGAGACTGAGGTGAGCAGATCACGAGGCCAGGAGATCGAGACCATCCTGGCCAACATGGTGAAACCCCATCTCAACTAAAAATATAAAAAATTAGCCAGGCATAGTGGTGCGCCTGTAGTCCCAGCTACTCAAGAGGCTGAGGCAGGGGAATCGCTTGAACCCCGGCGGCAGAGGTTGCAGTGAGCAGGGATCATGCCACTGCACTCCAGCTGGGCAACAGAGCAAGACACTGTCTAAAAAAAAAAAAAAAAAAAAAAAGAGGGCATCCTGTGTGTTTGACATCCTAGGTCTGACCCCCAGCACCATCTGCTTCGTGGAGTGTGTAGACCCGATGGCTGGACCTCCCTTCCACCCAGACTCCCACCCTGTCCCCGCTCAGTATACTCACCCCTTAGGTGCTGCTGCTGTTGCTTATCCAGAGGGCTCGAGGGCCGCCCGCCCATCCTGCTGCCGTCTCCCGGGGCTCCCCTTCCCCTCCCCGCGACCACCGCCCGCGTTACTCTGCTCTGGAGCACCTGGGTGGCAGCGGAGAGGATGGAACGCGGTGGGGTTCAGAGGCCCCGCCCCCTGCCCCGCCCCACGCCGCACCTGCGTCCTCCTCGCTCCCCGGGGGCCAAGATTGCCCAGAGCCTGTGGTTTCTGCAGAGGCTGCGGGGGCAGACCCGGGGGCAGGTTGTGGGGTATGAGAGAAAGAAAATCATAGCTCGCCTTGGAGGAGGGTGGCAGGGCAGACACCTGGCAGAACTGGCCAGCAGTCATCTGTATGGGGGCTGGGGCTGGAAGAGGGGGATAGGGAGGAATGGGGCATCTCTCCTGGTGCCACACACACCCCCACCCTGTGCCGGGTGAAGCTGAACCACACAGACGATACAGCCCTGGCCCAGCTCCCAGGAGTCCCCAAGCCAGGGAGATAGAGTCTGGGCAGACACTCCCAGACTGTCACTGGGGTCAGTGCCGGGGCAGGGGGGCAGATGCCAAGGTCTTAGATGATGGGAGGCCTGGCAAGGGCAAGCAGAGATTTAGGGGGCACTGAAGCTTCATCCTTGATTCCTTCCTCAGGCTTCCGTCACTGTCTCACCCACAAGCATACCACCTGCAGTCAATTTCATTTTTCTTTTTTCTTTTTTTTTTCCTTAAAGACAAGGTCTTGCTTTGTCGCTCAGGCTGGAGTGCAGTGGCACGATCACGGCTCACTGCAGCCTGGAACTCCTGGGCTCAAGCGACCTGCCTCAGCCTCCCGAGTAGCTGGGACCACAGGCACATGCCACCATCATGCCTGGCTAATTTTTGTATTTTTTGTAGGCACGGGGGTCTTCCTATGCTGCCCAGGCTGGTGGGCAAACCTGGACTCAAGTGATCGGCCCACCTCCACCACCCAAAATGTTAGGATTATAGGCATGAGCCATCACATCTGGCATATTTCACTTTTTAAGTGTCTCTTAAAGGTGTCCCTTTTCTTTACTTTTTTTTAGACAGCGTCTCACTCTGTTGCCCAGGCTGGAGTGCAGTGGCGCGATCTCAGCTCACTGCAACCTCCGCCTCCTGGATTCAAGCGACTTCTGGCTAATTTTTGTTTTCATTTGTTTGTTCGTTAGTAGAGCTGGGGTTTTGCCATATGGGTCAGGCTGGTCTCAAACACCTGACCTCAGGTGATCCTCCCGCCTTGGCCTCCCAAAGTGCTGGGATTACAGGTGTGAGCCACTGCGCCCAGCAAAGGTGTCCCTTTTCTCGGGCCCAGACCCCATCTTCAGCACCCCCAAACCCTCAGTGCTGACCTCCTGAAACTCTCCCACTGCCCTCTGGGGAAGCACCACTGAGGCCCCAGCTTCATTGCTCCATAAGCCCTCCGGCCCCGCTCAGCCCCCAGTAGATCCTGAAGCCTCCATGTGCCTCTGACCCCAGCACTCCTGTCCAGTACCTGGAGAACTCTTCTGCCTCCTACACATGGTCGTCCAAGCTTCACTCCTCAGGTGAAGAGACCAGACGCCAGCCTCTTGGAGAGTCATCCCTGTGCCAGCATTTGACGTGGTTTGGTTAGTTGGGTGTCTCCACCCCTTCACCTGTGTTGTGCCTGGCACAGAGCAGCCCTCAATGTTTGCTGAATGAATGAATGAACGAAGGGAGGGCATACAACCTACACTCAAAGCCGGAATGTGATCAGATGGAGCCATCACGGGTTTTCTGATGAGGGGAGTGTCAAGCCCTGAGCTCTGGGTCCAGCTTAGCTGAGGGAGTGGGGTGGGTCCCTGAAGACCTCTCAAGGACACTGAACACATCCCAGCGGCCAGGGCTCCAGGCTGGAGGAAGGAAAGCCCAGAGCGTGGCCCCTCAGATGGTAAGATCCCCACGGAGCCCGAGGCAGGCGGTCAGGTCATCACTGAATAGAGAACATATGTACCCCAATGTCCATTGCACCTATTGGCCTCAGTAGTAGAATCCCTGATCATAGCAGAGCCCATGGCTGTCCAGTGGAGACTCATCTTCCCGACTTCCTTGCAGCAATGTGGGACTGTGCAACCCAGGCTGCCCTCGAAGGTTGAGCAGAAGTGTCTTGGGTGAATCCTGGGGAGCTTCTTCATGCTAGGCCTGGAATGTGGACACAATGGCTGGAGCACAAGCAGCCACCTTGGGCCATGAGATAGAATCCACTGACAGGGCAAAGCAATGATGTAGAAGGAACTAGGGTTACTGAAGAATGTGTGACATTGCTCTACCAGCCCTGAATGGTGTCTCTCTAGAGAAAAAGCTAAACCTCCATTTCGCTTAAGTAATATCTGAATGTAATCTTCACTAACACCCAGGATTCATTTCTTCTTTTTTTAAAAAAATTGTTTCTTCAGCCCGCTGTGGCGGCTCAAGCTGTAATACCAGCACTTTGGGAGGCCAAGACATGCAGGTCATCTGAGGTCAGGAGTTCAAGACCAGCCTGGCCAACATGGTGAAACCCCGTCTCTACTAAAAATAGAAAAAAAAGCCAGGTGTGGTGGTGGGTGCCTGTAATCCCAGCTACTTAGGAGGCTGAGGCAGGAGAATCACTTGAACCCAGTAGGCGGAGGCTGTAGTGAGCCAAGATCGGACCACTGCGCTCCAGCACTCCAGACTAAGCGGCAGAACGAGACTGTCTCAAAAAAAGAAAAAAAAAAACCACCAGATGATACGGGCAAGGTAGAAAAATGCAGCAGGAGGGGATGGAAGATGGGCATGGGGGGGGTCCGGAAGGTAATGTTGCCAAAGACCTCAATTAAAGGAAGTGAGAGGCCGGGGCAGTGGTTCATGCCTGTAAGGAAGTGAGGGGCCGGGGGCAGTGGTTCATGCCTGTAATCCCAGCACTTTGGGAGGTTGAGGCAAGTGGATCACTTGAGGTCAGGATTTCAAGACCAACCTGGCCAGCCTGTTGACACTCAATTTCTACCAAAAATACAAAAGTTAGCCTGGCATGGTGGTGGGTGCCTGTAATCCAGCTACTTGGGAAGCTGAGGCAGGAGACTCTCCTGAACCCGGGAGGTGAGGCTGGAGTGAGCTGAGATTGCGCCACTGCACGCCAGCCTGGACGACAGAGCAAGACCCTGTCTCCTCCAAAAAAGAAAGTGAGGGCCTGAGCCATGCAAAAGGCTGCAGGAAAGGAGATACCGGGCAGCGGGCTGAGCACAGGCAAGGGCCCTGGGGTGGAATGTGCTCCGCGGGCTCTAGGAACAGCCGGAAGTGGGTGCGTCATAAGGACGTAGAGTGAGGGGCTGATGCTGCTGGGGAGAGCAGGTGAAAGGGGTCATGTGGAGTCTTGTGGGAAGGGGTGGATTTCGCTCCCAAGGCAAAACGGAGCAGGAAGGGTTATGGCTCTCAGGAAAGAGTAGATGGTGACAGCCCCAGGCAGAACTGTCCACGTGGATCCCTGCTCTAGCTGCTCAATTTCCCTTCATTTCTCTGCTCCATGCCCCAACCCCTGCCCACTGCTGTGGGGGCCACAGCCACCTGCCCTTGCCCAGGCCCACAGCTGAGCCGTTTCCACTGGGGTCTCTGTGCTGCTTGTCAATCTCCTTCCGCTCAGGCCTGTCCCACTTCCTCACTCTCACATCTGAGGGGCCCACCGGGACAAGACACTGAAGAAAACTTCACTTTCTGTGGTTTCGGCTCCACTCTCGCCCTGAACAGTCGCCTCCTCGGAGGTTTCAATTCCCACCTCCTGCACAGCTGGGTGCCTCCTCTGAATCCCCCAGAGAAGCTCACACGTGACTGGGCAGCCCCCATGCACCCACCAGCCCCCCACACTGTCATCCCTGGGGCCGGGACAAAGGTGGAGGGTGGGCCATGAGCAGATGCACTCTGGGAATGTGTGCACAAGCCCAGCACATCGAGACTAGACTCTTTGGTGCTTTCAAGGCTCTGAGCAGGCCTGCAGCGCGGCTGATTGCAGTGCTTGGGCCTGTGTGCAGTGGGAGCTCAGCAGAGGGTTCACTTATGTCCGCCCAAAGACATGTGTACATCCGGACCCAGGAAACTCAGCATGTGACCTAATTCAGAATACTTATTCCAAATAAGCATTTATTTGGGACTTATTTGGAATACTTCTTTGGTATCTTGAGATGGCACCGTCCTGGGTACAGGGTGACCCTAAACCCAATGAGGGGTGTCCTCATGAGAAAAGAGGGCCAGGTGTGGTGGCTCCTGCCCATAATCCCAGCACTCTGGGAGGCTGAGGCTGGAGAATCGCTTGACCTCAGGGGTTCGACACCAACCTGGGCAACATAGCGAGACACTGTCTCTACAAAAAATGTTCAAAAGTAGCCAGGCATGGTGATGCGCAACTGTAGCCCCAGATACTTGGGAGGCTGAGATGAGAGGAGCGATTTAGCCCAGGAGATGGAGGCTGCTATAAGCTGTGACTGCGCCACTGCACTCTAGCATGGGTTAGTGAGACCCTGTCACAAAAAAATAATAATAAATAAAGAGGAGGAGAGCACACACAAGAAGGCGGCCAAGTGAAGGTGAGAGGGAGGAGACACTGGAGTGATGCAGCCGCGAGCCAAGGGACACCAAGGACAGGAGAGGCCTGGGACGGGCTCGGCCTCAGAGCTTCCAAAGGGAACCAACACTGAGGCCACCTTGACTTTGAACTTCTGATCTCCACAAGGAGGACAGATAGGACAGAATACATTTCCGTTGTCTTTTTTTTTGAGATGGAGTTTCACTCTTGTTGCCCAGGCTGGAGTGCAATGGCACGATCTTGGCTCACTGCAACCTCTGCCTCCTGGGTTCAAGCGACTCTCCTGTCTCAGCCTCCTGAGTAGCTGGGATTATAAGCACATGCCACCATGCCCACCTAATTTTTATATTTTTAGTAGAGACAGGGTTTCATTATATTGGATTCGAGACCAGCCTGCTGGTCTCAAACTCCTGACTGCAGGTGATCCACCCACAAAGTGTTGAGATTACAGGCGTGAGGCACGATGCCCAGCTTTTTTTTTTTAAGACACAGTCTTGCTCTGTCACTCAGGCTGGAGTACAGTGGCCGGATCTCGGCTCACTGCAACCTCTGCTTCCCACGTTCAAACAATTGTTGTGCCTCCCGAGTAGCTAGGATTAGAGGTGCCCACCAACATGCCCAGCTAATTTTTGTATTTTTAGTAGAGACAGGGTTTCACCATGTTAGCCAGGCTGGTCTCGATCTCCTGACCTCAACTGATCTGCCTGCCTCATTCTCCCAAAGTGCTGGGATGACAGGCGTGAGCCACCTCGCTTGGCCTGTTGTCTTAGGTCACCTCAGGAAATTCCTCCAAGGTGGCGATGCCCAGGGGAGAGGCCCCGCCCTCCTCCCCATACATGGGGGCTGTGGATCAGAACCCAGGCCAGGTTGCCCCCAGGCCTGCTGCCATCGAGGACCCCAAGACAGCGCATACTTCCAGCAACGCTCCTTTTAATATCCGGATGCCCAGAGCCACGGCTGGTGTGTTGAGCCCCGGGCAGGGCTGGTGGCCAGAGTCTGTCGGCTTCCAGCAGCACCACGTGGCTTTTTCCAGTGAGAGCCTGGATCACGGCGGCCAACAGAGGCCCAGCCCCTGGGGCCGTGTGCCTGGTCCCAGCTGCAGCGTCCCTCTGGCCAGCTACAAAGTGGAATGCTTCTCGAAGGGCACGGTCAGGAGTCGGGCGGCCGCCTCATCCAAGAACCAGCACAGTTTCCCGGTGTGGGGCTGGACCAGGGCTGCGGGCAGCGGGTTTTCCTCCTTGTCCTCCAAAATGCGCTGCAGGAGAGGGCAAGAGAGTGAGGCCCCGCCCCCGCCCCAGGCCCCGCCCCTCAGCACTCTCCTGGCTCCCCTGCCAAGGATAAGACTCTTGTACCCTCAAAATGTGACAATGCTCCACTCAGCTGTCGTTGCGCCAAACAGGAGGGACAGAGTCCCTTCCTCTCTATCCACTGGAACTATTTTTATTTTTTTTGAGACAAGGTCTTGAGCTGCCATCCAGGCTGGAGTACAGTGGCGCCATCACAGCTCACTGCAGCCTCCATCTCTGAGGCTGAACTGATCCTCCGCCTCAGCCTGCTAAGTATCGGGACTACAGGCACGTGCCACCATGCCGGGCTAATTTTTTAATGTTTTGTAGAAACGAGGTTTTGGCTATGTTAGTAAAGACGAGGTTTTACTATGTTTGCCCAGACTAGTCTCAAACTCCTAGACTGAAGTGATCCTCCCACCTCAGCCTCCCAAACTGCTGGGATTACAGGCACGAGCGGCCGTGCCTGGTGCATAACTGTTTAATACTGCAAAAGACCAGAGCAGAAGATGAGAGTCAATAGATTCCGCTATGTAGACCATCCAGTCTCTACCGCGACCACTCAGCTCTGCAGCTCCTGCCCCAGAGCAGACAATACACACATAAGCGGGTGTGGCTATGTTCCAATAAAACTTTATTTCTGGGCCAGGTAGCTCATGCCTATAATCCCAGCACTTTGGGAGGCTGAGGCAGGTGGATTACGAGGTCAGGACTTCGAGACCATCCTGGCTAGCATGGTGAAACCCCATCTCTACTAAACATATAAAAAATTAGCCAGGCATGGTGGCATGCACCTGTAGTCTCAGCTACTCGGGAGGCTGGGGCAGGAGAATCACTGGAACCCAGGAGGTGGAGGTTGTAGTGAGCCAAGACCATGCCACTGCACTCCAGCCTGGGTGATAGAGTGAGACTCCATCTAAAAAATAAATTAAAAAAAAACAAAAACAAACATACACACATACATAAATCCACTCATTAATTTATGATTTTAATTTCACTTAGTCCTGTCTCTGACATTTTGTAGGTTTATATTATTGTCCTTTTTCTAATTCTAGAGGAAAGCACTTGATTTATTTATTTCAATGGTTTGCTACTTAATAATTTTTTTTTGAGGTTTCACCATGTTGTTCAGGCTGGTCTTGAACTCCCAACTTCAGGTGATCCACCCGCCTTGGCCTCCAAAGTGCTTGGATCATAGGCATGAGCCACCATGTCCTGCCTTTTTTTAAAAATAATTTTTAAAAATGCATTTGAATGCTATTAATTTACCTCTGAGTGCAGCTTTGCCCTCATCTCATCAATTTCATTTCACAGCTGTTAATACCTAACTAGCCTTTAATTGCCATTTCCCCCGCTTTTTTTCTAATTGCAATTTCAAGCTCCCTTTCAACCCAAGAATGACTGAGTTTTCTTCAGATCTGATGCTTCAACATAATAATGTCTGGGGCTATCTTCTGTCCCTGGAGCCCACATGCCCATGACCTTCCTGGGACTGGAACCCTCAGCTGTTACCTTCAGAACAGCTGCCTTGCCTTCTCCAGTTGCCACAAAGATGACAGTTCGTGCTGCATTCAGGACAGGTAACGTGAGGGTCACACGTTGTGCTGGTGGCTTCGGGGAGTCACTGATGGGAGCTACAATCTTTTCCCGCTCCTGGGGGAGGAAGGCCAGGGATGGAGACAGAAGCACAATGTCACTTTGGCTTCCTGGACACTTACACACACCCAGCCTGGCCCAGACACCATTCCATCCCATCCTAACAGTCCCACAGTGGGGTAGTTTAAGGCCCCTGTTTTAAGAGGCTGAACTGAGACCTGGAAGGGTTGAGCCCAGCAGGCATGTACGTTGCTGGAGGCTGACTTGAACCCTGGCTCTAGACAGCCCTCCCCACAGGTGTCCCTCCCTCTAGAAGTCCCAGATGTTAGGGACTGGGCTTAGCACTAGGGCAGAACCCACGTCTGTGTGCTCACCTGCAGGAGGGGGTGGTCTGGGAAGAGTGAGCAGGTGTGGCCATCGGGGCCTACCCCCAGGATCAGCAGGTCGAAAACCGGGATGGAGTCCCCTTGGAATGCCTGGGCATGGGGATAAGACAGTCTTGAGAGATTGTGAGGTGGCAGGGGCACAGGGGACTCAAAGGACACAGAGACAGTTGTCAGAAAAAGAAATACAAGTAGGTGTGGCCAGGCATGGTGACTCACGCCTGTAATCCCAGCACTCTGGAAGGCTGAGGTGGGTAGATCAGGTGGTCAGGAGTTCGAGACTAGTCTGACCAACATGGGGTAACCCTGTCTCTACTAAAAATACAAAAATTAGCTTGTCGTGGTGGTGGGCAACTATAGTCCCAGCTACTTGGGAATCTGAGGAAGGAAAATCCTCCACTTGAACCCAGGAGGCGGAGGTTGCAGTGAGCTGAGATCATACCACTGCACTCCAGCCTGGTGACAAAGGGAGACTCCATCTCAAAAAAAGAAAGAAATACAAGTAGGTGTAACACACGAAACAGTGCTCCTTAGCCCTCAGCCTGTGATCAAAGCCACACATCGGGAGACACATATGTCCCCAAAATGTGAGGACCCAGGCCTGTTTCCTGGGCAGCAGACGCCAGGTGGTCTTCAGGCTCCCCTGGACAGGACTGTGGGCTCAAAGAGGGGATTCCTCAAAGGGATTTACCAGCAATCCCTGAGGCAGTTCCCACTGGCGACAATCAGAGGGCTGCTCTGCTGCCCGGACGAGGCCACTGCTCAGGGCTCACCTGACTCAGCTTCTTGGCGTAGTCCTCAGCTGCCTCCTCCACAGGCAGCTTGGGGTTAATGGTGATCACCTGGCTTTCTGGGATTGCCAGTCTGGAGAGAAGATGCGTCTACGGCCAACAGAGGGACAGTGTCACCAACAGTAACGTGACCACCTGGATCCTCCGCGGAGGTTGTGATGGCACTATAACACCCATTTACAGATGGGGAGACTGAGGCATGGGGATGCCGGTGCATTTGTGCAAGGTCCTCTGGGTGGTGAGTGGCACAGTCACCTCGGGAATGCTGGAAGCCAGGACCCTGAACTCTGGGTGACGTCGCCTGTCAGGGTGGAGGAGGTTCAAGCGCAAGAGGGAGCCCTGCTGTTCTTGAGGGACTGAACAGGTGGGTGGGCCTCCGGAGTGAACTGGGATCATGGTGGTTCTGGCTGGGGCCAGTGTTCCAACAGGGGTCTTTCAAGTCCATTGTATTTGGAGGGTTTCCTGGCCACGGCCTGCACCTGTCTATCCAGCCCACTGTCCTACTTCAAACCCTCAGGGTTTCACGGCCCTTGGGATAAAACTCAGCCCTCACTATCCTCTGTGAGGCCCTGTGACTTTCTCCACCCCAACCCTCCCTCCTGACATTGCCTAGGAAACTCCTATACATCCCTCAGGCCACCTCCTCCAAGCAGCCACCCCCGCTTACACCTGCCCCACTATAGGGAGTAGAGGTGCGGCTTGGCCAGGCGTAGCACTTGTACCCAATGCACAGCAGGCACCCTGGCCTGTGAATGGTGGAGTTGGCGGCAGATTTAACTCAAAAGCACTTGGAGTCAGACCTCCTAGAAGGGAAAGGCTGCAGCCCTTTCCCGCTGAGATGTACCCCGGGGCCCCTGATCTGAGACGGCTTCCGTGTCTCAGTGCCTCGTCTTTGTGCAAAGTCTAGCTCGGTGAGCCAAGGCAATGTTAAGGTGAGCCACGAAGTAAAAGCAGGGGCTGACCGCCCTGAATGCTGACCTGAGGAGTGTGGGCTCTACATTGAGGGCACTGGGGAGCCAAGGAGGGTGTGTGAGCTGGGGAGGGACACAATGGTATCCATGGTTGGAAAGATCACTCTGCTCTGTCCAAGGTCCCCGTGTTAGTCTGTGTAGGCTGCTATCACAAAACACCATAAAGTTGAGGCTTATAAACACCAGAAAATGAAAAGACATGGTGGCTCACGCTGTAATCCAAGCACTTTGGGAGGCCAAGGTGGGACAATTGATTGAGCCCAGGAGTTCGAGACCAGCCCAGGCAGCATAGTGAGACTTCATATTTACTAAAAATAAATTAGCGGCTAGGCGTGGTGGCTCACACCTGTAATCACAGCACTTTGGGAGGCCAAGGCAGGCGATTCACCTGAGGTCAAGAGTTCAAGACCAGCCTGACCAATATGGAGAAACCCTGTCTCTAACAAAAATACAAAATTAGCTGGGCATGGTAGCACATGCCTGTAATCCCAGCTACTCAGGAGGCTGAGGCAGGAGAATCACTTGAACCCAGGAGCTGAGATCGTGCCACTGCACTCCAGCCTGGGCAACAAGAGCGAAAAACTCTGTCTCAAAAAAAAAATTAGCTGGGCCTGGTGGTGCACACTTGTGGTTCCAGCTTCTGGGGAAGCGGAGGCAGGAGGGTTGCTCTCCAGCCCGGGAGTTGAAGCCTGCAGTAAGCCATGATACAGACCTCTGCACTCCGGCCTGGGCAACAGAGCAAGATCCTATCTCAAAAAAAGGGCAGGGCAGGGCAGGGGAGGGGAGGGAAGGGGAGGGGAGGGTATATGGGTCTTTGCAAATGTAATTACTTAAGAACAATCATAGTGGATTAGTGTGGGCCCTAAATCCAAAGACTAGTGTCCTTTTAAGACGAGAAGACACACAGAATCAGAGAAGGACATGTGTAGGCAGAGGCAGGAAATTAGAGTGAAGTGACCCCAAGCCAAGGAATACCGGGGGCCCCAGAAGATGGAGGAGAAAATGAAGGATCCTCTCAAGGAGCCTTCAGAGGGGCCATGGGTCCACCAATACCTTGATTTCAGACGCCTGGCCTCCAGAACGGTGAGGGAATCAATCCCTGTGGTTTTAAGCCACTCGGTTTGTGGTCATTTGTTATGCAGCCCTAGGGAACCAGTACGATTCCCCTCACAGAGAACTGGCAGAAGAGGCCAGTCTGGCACCAGATTTGTTCCGTGGCACGGCCTTGGCCTTGGTTGGGCCCTCTTGTCACAGCGTGACCATAGTCAGCTCCTGCACATGGTCCGTCTCTCAGCTCAAATGGCACTTTCTCAGGACCCCCATCCCACAGCCCTTGACAATGAATGCTTGCTCCCTCTTCCCTAGCACTCTGTAGCATTTCACTTTTTGTTTTTTAAGACAGTCTCAACTGTTGCCCAGGCTGGAGTACAGTGACACCATCTCGGTTCACTGCAACATCTGCCTCCTGTGTTCAAGCAATTCTGGTGCCTCAGCCTCCCCAGTAGCTGGGATTACAGGCCCGCACCACCATGCCTGGCTAATTTTTGTATTTTTAGTAGAGATGGGGTCTCGCCATTTGGCCAGGCTGGTCTCCAACACCTGACCTCAGGTGATCTTCCTCAGCCTCCCAAAGTGCTGAGATTACAGGCATGAGTCACTGCGTCTGGCCAAAAACCTGCTTTTAAATGATGCTCTTGAAGACACACAGGAAGGTGGAAGCTAAATGTGTACCCAACTATGAAGTCAGATGAGGCAGGGTCACACCCTGGCTGCCCCTCTGGTCACTAGATGCCTTGGGTGGGTAAGCTCTCCTCTGCTGGCCTCAGTTTCCCCATCTATGAAACGGGTGTAACATCTCATAAGCTGTGGTAGGGATTCATGAACTGATGCACAGAAAGCCTTCCCTCTTATTATTAAAAAACCCACAAACCATCATCAGCTCAAGCTTCTATGCAAAAAGAAGACGACACACCCAGCATGGGGTGGCCCTCCACGCTGCCAGGCTCAGGTGACCTGAGGCTCCGGTCTTTGAGCCCGCTCCTCCCACTCTTCCCTGAGCCAGGCCAAGGCTCCTGCAAGCCTCAGTTTCCCTGTCTGTAAAAAGAGCGCGTTCCTCTGATTCCATTGAATCCTGAGGCTCAAGGCCAAAGACAAAGAGCCTGGAAGCAGGGCCATCAGAGCGGCAAAGCTGCCCGGGGATCCCCGAGAACTCGCCGAGGTGAGAGATGAGGACCCTGCGATCCAGGCTCCACACCTAATTCCTCGTGCCCCCGTCCGCTACGGGGCTGAGCTATGGGCCTCGTAGTGAAATGGGTCACTCGGATTCCCTGCCAGGACCTTGCCGGTGCCGTTCCTCTGCCTGATCGATCGCCGGACGAGGTAGGAGGAGGAACTGCAAGCGGACCATTTCCAGCCCTGCCTAGATAAAGGCAGAGAGCGCAGGGAGATCCTGCTGGACCCACACTGTAGGCGGGGTTCAGGCGGTGGGCGAGCCCTTTCGTCACGACCCTCAGTCTCTCCTGTGGCCGAGGAGCAGGCAGTGGGCAACGCTCTCTTGGCGTGACACCAGTGAGCCCCACAGCCAAGGTGCAGGCAGTGGGCGCAACCCTCTTGGCTTGACCCTCGTATCCGAGGTCCAAGCAGTGGGCGCGGCCCTCCTGGCATGACCCCCAGCGGCCTCCGTAGCCGAGGTGAGAGCAGTGGGTGTGGCCCCCTTGCCTTGACACCCAGTGGTCCCTGTGGCCGAGGTGCAGGCAGCGGGCGCGGCCCTCTCGGCGTGACCCCTAGCGGCCCCTGTAGCCGAGGTGCCGGCAGTGGGCGCGGCCCTCTCGCCATGGTCCCCGGCGGCCTCCGTAGCCAGTGTGTAAGCGGTGGCTGCGGCCCTCTCGGCGTGACCCCCGGCGGCCCCCGTAGCTCTCACCCGGTAGAGGCCGTACGTGCTCTCGGCGTGATCGAAGGGTACGAGGCGTTCGTCGCAGAAGCCTAACGTCCAGCGAGCTAGGCTGACGGGCCCGGCAGGGGCGACGGCGGCGGGCAGCTCGCGGGCTAGCATCGAGACAAGGCTCCCGCCCGACAGGCCGAGCGCGAAACGGGCGCGGGCCCCCGCCAGGCAGCATGCTGCGCGCTGGGCCACCAGCTGCGCTAGCGACGCACCCAGCTCCTGGGGGCTCGAGAAGACCGAGATGAGGCCCGGGGCCGGCGCGGCCATGGCGACAGCGGCGGTGGGGAGGCGGAAGCGCTCCCGAAGGCAGCTGGTGCGCCTGCGCAAGGGCCGGCACTACACTTCTGCTTCAAGTACTTTGGGCGACCGTCTCTGGCACATGCGCAGTGAGGCAAGTGAAGCCCCGCCAGGGTCGGGTAGTCGGTCTGGCCCTACCCATTGAATCTTTCCCTGGTGTACCTGAGTCCTGTTGTCCCGAGTTCGATCAGTCAGTGCCTGAATACTTAACGTTGCGGTATCAGGGAGGGCCCGAGAGGGGAGCCCAAGAAGAGGACGTCCTATCCGGGTGGCAGGGATTTCTTGAAGGAGGGCATATTTTGGCGGGCTTTTAAATTCCTCCACCTTTAAACATATTTATCTTGTTGCTATTTGTTGCCCACCCTCTTTCATTAAAATATAAGCCCCATAAGAGTAGGGATATTGTTTTGTTCACTTGATGCCTCGTAAACCTCCTGAACTATGCCTGGCACAAAGTAGGGTATGAGGCCAAGCGCAGTGGCTTACGCCTGTAATCCTAGCACTTTGGGAGGTTGAAGTGGGTGGATCACCTGAGGTTGGGAGTTCGAGACCCGCCTGGCCAACATGGTGAAACCCTGTCTCTACTAAAAATACAAAAATTAGCCGGGCGTTGTGGCATGCACCTGTAATCCCAGCTACTCGGGAGGCTGAGGCAGGAGAGTCGCTTGAACCCGGCAGGCAGAGGCTGCAGTGAACCGAGATGGTGCCAGTGCACTCCAGCCTGAGCAACAAAGCGAGACTCCATCTCAAAAAAAAAAAAACAAAAAGACCTAAGGATGAAAATGTGCTTGTTGAATTTATTTTTTTACTTTTCTCATAGAGACAGGCTCTTGCTGTATGGTGTAGGCTGGTCTTGAGCTTCTGGGCTCAAGCGATCATCCTGCCTCAGCCTCCCAAAGTGGTAGTATTCAGGTGAGAGCCATTGCATCTGGCCATGATTGTTGAAATTTTTCAGCAAACACGCCTAGTGTGCTGTTGTGTCCCGCTGATTGCCCAGAAAAGCCTCCAGTCGAGTTGTTGCCTGGATGGAGGTCTGAAAGGGGGAGAAGGTCTCGTGGGCCTGGGGAGGCTGGGCCACTTCGGAGAGTGGGACAATTCAGTGAGGTATGTAAGCGCAATGAGACTGACACAAGTAGTGCATTTTAAAATCAGTAACAAATTAAGAAAATGATTCCATTTACTGTAGCATCACAAAGAATAAGATTAGAAATGAATTTTTTTTTTTTTTTGAGAGAGAGTTTTGCTCTTGTTGCCCAGGCTGGAGTGCAATGGCGGGATCTTGGCTCACAGCAACCTCCACCTCCCAGGTTCAGGCGATTCTCCTGCCTCAGCCTCTAGAGTAGATGGGATTACAGGCATGTGCCACCACACCTGGCCAACTTTGTATTTTTAGTAGAGACGGGGTTTTCCCATGTTGGTCAGGTTGGTCTTGAACTCCCGACCTCCGGTGCTCCACCCGCCTCTGCCTCCCAAAGTGCTGGGATTACAGGCATGAGCCACCATGCCTGGCCGGGAATAAATTTAATCAAAGAAGGGCAAGACTTTGTACATTGAAAGCTGCAGCTAGGCTTGGTAGCTCATACCTGTAATCCCAGCACTTTGGGAAGCCAAGGCTGGACCTGGTGGCAGCTGCCTGTGGTCCCAGCTACTTGGGAGGCTGTGGTGAGAGGATCACTTGAGCCCCGGAAGCTAAGGCTGCAGTGAGCTGTGTTCCTGCCACTCCACTCCAGACTGGGCGATAGAGTGAGAACCTTTCTCAAAACAAGCTAAACTAAACTAAAACTTTGCTGAAAAAAAGTTAAAGGTGATCTAAATAAGGGGCAAGACATCCTAGTTCATGGATTGGAAAGTATAATGTTGTTAGGACGGCAATATTCCACAAATTGGTCTACAGATGCAATGTAATCCCTTTGAGATTTATAACATTTTTGTAGAAATTGACAAATTGATCCTCAAATTCATAATAAATTGTAAATGGCTCCCAAATAGCCAAAACAATCTTGAATAAAATAGGAGGACTAATACTTTCTCATTTCAAACTTAATAAAAATGTATATTAATCCAAACAGCATGGTATTGGCGTAAGGATATACATGTAAATAAATGATTGGAACGGATACACACATAAACCCATGAATATATGATCAACTGATCTTTGCCAAGGGTGCCAAGACTATTCAAAAAGAAAGGAATAGTCCAGGCTCCGTGCCTCATGCCTGTAATCCCAGCACTTTGAGAGGCCAGGGCAGGTGAGTCATCTCAGGTCAGGAGTTCGAGACCAGCCTGGCCAACATAGTGAAACCCTATCTCTACTAAAAACACAAAAATTAGCTGGGCATGGTGGCTCCTGCCTGTCACCCCAGTTACTCAGGAGGCTGTGGCAGGATAACAGCTTCAATCCGGGAGGCAGAGGTTGCATTGAGCCAAGGTCACGCCACTGCACTCCAGCCTGGGTGACAGAGCGAGACTCCCGGTTAGAATAGTAAAACAAACAAAACCCAAAAGTCAATTAATTAAAAAAAAAAAAAAACCCAGGCTCGATGGCTCACACCTGTAATCCCAGCACTTTGGTAGGCCAAGGCAGAGCGGATCACGAGGTCAGGAGTTCAAGACCAGACTGACCAACATGGTGAAACCCTGTCTCTACTAAAAAATACAAAAATTAGCTGGGTGTGGTGGCTCACGCCTGTAATCCCAGCTATTTGGGACGCTGAGGCAAGAGAATTGCTTTACCCAGGAGGCAGAGTTTGCAGTGAGCCGAGGTCACCTCTGCACTCCAGCCTGGGCTACAGAGCAAGACTCCATCTCCAAAAAAAAGTACCATATCCGGTGGCAGGGTCTGGGAAAGGGATGGCAGGCACCATGTCCAGCCACAAAGGTGGCAAGAAGAAGCCCCTGAAACAGCCCAAGAAGCAGGCCAGGGAGACGAGCAAGATAAGGCTTTCAAGCAGAAACAGAAGAGCAGAAGAAACTCGAGGAGCTAAAAGGGAAGGCCGTGGGGAAGGGGCCCCTGGCCACAGGTGGAATTAAGAAATGTGGCAAGAAGCAAGCTGTCCTTGTCCCGAGGAGATGGTGACCCCTTATTTCATCTGTATTTAAACTTCTGTATTCTCTGCCATAGCATCTTTTTCCTCCTGTAGCTGGAATTCAGTGTTGTCTTGGAGCTGTTGCACATTGAAGAAAAACTTTTGTTAAAAAAATAACAAAAAACGAACAGCATTCAAGCCTGAGAGTCATCAAGATTATTTTCTCACCAACTCAGAGGGAACTTCCTAGACACTGTTGCAGCTAGAGGCTTTGGAACATGAAAGAAGTTCCCTGGGCCACGGTGTCACCTGGAGCCCGTTGCAATGACTCCATTTCCCTCCTCCTGTCTCAGTTTCTCCATCTGTACAATGGGGACCATGGTGACACTTCCTGAGGTGGTTGCGAGGTTGGAGAGATGCTAGTCAGAATTCAGTTGCTCAGCTGGATGCAGTGGCTCACACCTGTAATCCCAGCACTTTGGGAGGCCGAGGCAGATGGATTACCTGAGGTCCGGAGTTCGAGACCAGCCTGGCCAACATAGTGAAACCCTGTCTCTACTAAAACACAAAAATTATCTGGGTGTGGTGGCATGTGCCTCTAATCCCAGCTACTTGGGAGGCTGAGGCAGGAGAATCGCTTGAATGATGGAGGTGGAGGTGGAGGTTGCAGTGAGTTAGATGAGCCACTCACTGCCCTCCAGCCTGGGTGACAGAGCAAGACTCTGGCCCCCCCCCCCAAAAAAATGTACTTGCTCATCTGCACACCAGTCACCCCCTCAGTCCGCTTTCCCAGCAAATGCTTCTGTCACTTCCTTCCCCTGAGGTAGAGATAACAGGAGGCCAGCGTTATGACAAGGGAGGGGACAGCAGAGGTGAGGGTCAGTTGAGAGCACAGTAGTCTCCTCTTATTTAAACTTGGTCTTTCTGAAGTTGCCACAGTTCAAACATAGTACATGGAAAATTCCAGAAATAAGCAATTCATCAGTTTTAAACTGCGTGCCGTTCTGTGGAGCATGACGAAATCTCGGACTGTCTTGCTCCATCCCTCTCTGTCCCGCCCAGGGTCATGAATCACCCCTTTGTCTGGCAGATCCATGCTGGAGATGATACTCCCCCAGCGCCCACTCATTTGTCACACGGTAGCCTCCTGGTTATGTGCTCAAAAAACCTGTATAAGCTGGGCACGGTCACTCACACCTGTAATCCCGGCACTTTGAGAGGCCGGGGGTGGGAGGACTGCTTGAGCCTAGGAGTTAGAGACCAGCCTGGGCAATATAGTGAGACTTCATCTCAACAAACAAATCAAAATTAGCTGGGCATGATGGTGCACGCCTATAGTCTCAGGCACGCAGGAGGTTGATGGAGGATTGTTGAGCCTGGCAGGTCAAGGCTGCAGTGAGTTATGATCATGCCACTGGGCAACAGAATAAGACCCTGTGTCAAAAATAAACTAAAAAGAAAGAGCGAGGGAAGGATGAAGGAAAGGGAGGGAGTGACAGACGAAGGAAAAGAAAAAAAGCCGCATACGGTGTCTCATGTCTGTAATCCCAGCACTTTGGGAGCCTGAGGCAGGAGAATCGCTTGAACCCAGGAGGCGGAGT